ATGAGCGCGGCGAAGACGTGATTCGCAACTTTCAGACGACGCAGATTCCAGGCCTTTACCGTAACATTCCTATCCCTCCGTACTCGGCAGCATGCGGCGATGCAATACGAATTCGTCAAGTGGAGCCCACACTGTCAACAGTCGGGCTATTACTGATCATCCCCCACCAGTTGGTGTCGCTCCCATTTGACGGCGGCGGCGAACAAAAATGCACTGCAAGCGAAGTAAGCTCGCCAGTCACTGCTACTTCGGCAACAGTTCTACGACGCAGCAAGGATCTAACACCGCTGGACAGCAACAACACACTGATTCGAGATTTTATTCTGGCTGATGAGAGCTTCTTTCTGGGCGTCGAAGTGGGCGCTCGCCGATGCGGAGGACTGGCGTTAGCATCCGACAGCGTGTCCATGTGGGTGGCGCCAAAACGAGTGGTGCAATCACAAGCGGGAAGCAACTTTCGTGTCAACTTCAAACCGGGTTCAAAGTACATCTACTACTTCTCTACAAGCTCACCGTGTGTATACCGCGGCAACGCAAACGAGCAGGCGCAATTTGTGAACGTTCCTCGCCCAAGCGCGTCCCCATCGCCTTCCGCAGCGGCAGCAGCAGCGACAGCGGTTGAAACGGCGGATGTAACGTTGCTGTCGCCGATTCCGCTTCCGCCCGGCATTAGTCCCGCGCCGCTGGGCGCTCCCGCGCCGCTGGACACGGGGCCAGTTGCAGGTGGTGGAGAGGGCGTCGCATCGGTGGGCGCGCCGGCGCTGAACGGGTTGGATGGGGTGCAATTGCTCGACGATGGAAGCGTGCAGAGTTTCGTAGACACAGCTTCACAACGGGCGTGTTTCCCCGCCGGGGAGCAGGTATGGCTTTCCGACGGGCGTGTGGTGAGAATGGAAAGTGTGAAACTTCACGACGAGGTGCTAGTGGACGACAGCGGTGGAGGCAGTGCAATAATGAGTTTCACGCATCGTAACTCGATTGTGCTGGCTCGGTTCGTGCGGATCCACACGCAGCATAAGCGCAGTTTGACGCTTTCTGGCGGACATATCGTGCTGGTGGGGCGGGAAATGAAGGCGAAGACGGCTCAGGAAGTGCGCGTCGGCGACTCGCTAACGGACGTGGAACACGGCGCAAGCGCGGTGACCAACGTGGAGTGGGTAGTACGGCGTGGGCTGTTCAACCCGCAGCCGGTGCAAGGGCGGCTGGTGGTGCACGGCATCGTCGTGAGCGCGTACACCAGCGCGCTGCCCAACAGCGGCTGCGCGCACGCGTTGCTCACGCCGCTGCGCTTCGTGTACGCGCTGTACAGGCTGCTGTCGCTCTGACGGCGCCACGTGGCCAGCGCAGACGGCGCGGACGGCGCTCGAAGGCACACGTGGCCGGCCGCCGCGAGGGGAGGACGCGCCACGTGTCACGGCGCGACTTGAACTGAGAGCGTAGCACGCGCGCCCGCCCGAAACGGCTGTGCGCGCGCTGCCGCACGCCTTTCACCATCGGCGCCTCTAAAATCGCACTGTTCCACCTATCTATACGTCATGCACGCCCGCTCGCCACTTCTCCTCCTCTTCGTAGCGCCAGCGCCGTCCACTCCACCCCCCCCCCCAAAATCCATTCTTGTGACTTTCTTTCTCTACGCTGCACCCCTTCCCGCCTAATCTCGTGTCTCCTGCTCCGCCCCACCCCCTCCGACCCGTTCGGAACTTCCGTTGCAATCGCTCCCGATTTGGTGCTGCCCGCCCCCTTCTGGCTTCGTGTTCGCCCCCACTATACTACCCCTTCACCGTCTCGTCCGCAATGGTTAGCGTCTCACACTCGTGTCCGAAAGCGCATCGAAACACCCGTCTCTCTCAAGCCATGTCATCCACATCCACCTCCACAACCTCCTCCTCCTGCACAGCATCCACAACAGCATCATCCTCATCCACGCCCGAAAAACCGGCCGCAAACGCCGTCTACCTCAACGTCTACGACGTGCAAACGCCCGACGATCCCGCCATAATCCCTCGCGTCAACAACGTCCTCATCCACTGCGGCATCGGCGTCTTCCACACCGGCGTGCAAGTATGGGGTCGAGAATTCGCCTTCGGCGCACACCCAAATGGCGAATCAGGCATTTTCGAAGTGCATCCAAGAGAATGCCCCGCCGTCAGGTATCGCTCTTCAATCTTTCTAGGCTACACCACAATGTCTGAGCCACAAGTGGATGACATCATCACATACCTCGGTCGCACCGAGTACATCGGCAATCGCTACTCGCTCATTTCACGAAACTGCAATTCGTTCTCAAGCCAGCTTACCGCCTTGCTCGGCGTGCACGATAATTTTCCGGCTTGGGTCAATCGTCTCGCTACTATTGCCTTCAACGTGCGTTGCTTACTGCCTGAGGGTGTTGACGCCCCGTTCAAGGATAGCGTTCCGACAGCCGCTATCAAGGAGCCACAGAAACCACCTCCAGTTGCTTTACTGTAGCCAAAACCTCATCTCCTTCGTAACTATCCCATATCACCGCTCCCTTTCGCGCCGCTACCGCTGCGTAACTGCCCTCGCGTGCTATCTACGGCTATTCCAAGTCACTCTTTTACGTGCCTTGTTTGGCTTGCGCTCCCCTTCTGCCCCCTCCCCCCTTCTTGTACGTGTACATAAAAGAACCTTTTTTTTTTTGTTTTTCGAGTGTATTTGTGCGTGTGTGTTGTTGATGCTCAACCTGCCTCGCGTTTGCGATGATACTTCCACAACACCGCCAACGCAAGCAATACCAACATCAGCACCATCAATGCATACACTAACAGAGTATCTGAATACTCGCGTCGTTCGATGCTCGCAATGATTCGACGATCCACTCCAATTTGATTCATCACGTCCAACATTCTCTTTTTCATGCTTCGTAATCGACCCTTCTGAAACAGCAGCTTCTCCAACGCACCGCGCCCGGTGTTCAATATTGCAGACGCTGTACCAGTGGAGTCGTCCAACACCCTTGCCTCCTCCACCATACCAACTCGCAACACCGCATCCCCCCGTTGTTGCTGTTGCTGTTGCTGTTGCTGTTGCTGCTGCGCGCCTGCGCGCCGCTGAAATAGTTCGTCTCTCATGTCACGTTCATTTCGAATGTGCCTCAGTCGGGCGGTACATCTCGCATGCCCGGCGCGAAACTCGGCGATCTGGTCGTCCAAATCGCGCAACCTCGCCTTCCACACCTGCCGTCTTGAGGGCGGTTCGGAAAGCAACATGGAGCGAAGCTGAGATGCCTTCGCGGCCAGCACGGCGACGTTTTCGGAAAAGGCGGATGACACTGGTGCAGATGCCTGCGGATCGAGCTGAGTGTTTGCAGAAGCGGCTTCCAACGTTTCGAGCTGATTGCGGGCGTCCATGATTACGCGACGCGCCTCGCGGTACGCGCTTTCTATGCCGTCCATGGCGACGGCTCGTTACGCGCGGTACCCGCGTTTGCAGCGGCGGCAGTTGGAGCAGCCGCCAACAACGCTGCGCCTTTTCAAGACGGAGCGCTGTCCTGCGCGTGCAGACGCCGCATTTGGAAAACACTTGTCCACTGATAATTTAGCTTTTTGGTTTTTGTGTCCGCCGTGCGAGGAGAAGGAAAGGAATCAACGGTTGGACTTGACTTTGCACAATCCATCGTCCGCACCAACGCCACTCATCTTCATCAGCAGCCGCCATCCGCCATGCATCGCGCGCCCACGCCGCGATCGCTGCGATGCGCCCCGCTAGTGATCACGCGAATATCCCATTCCCTCCGCCACCATCAGCCCAACCCATCAAGCAGAGCAGCGTCCACAAAAAGCACCCCAACGCGCACTCCGCCAGCCCAACAAGCACCGCCTTCCGCATGGAGTGCACGCAAGGTATTGGTCGCCACAGGCGCCTTGGCTGTTGCGGCAGGAGCGGCATACCCCCCCATCCGCGAGCAAGCGCAGGCCACACTGCAAGACGCACAGCACGCAATTCGCGCACGCATCAATATGTTTGCGCAGCCGTCCAGAGAAAAGCTCTTACCGGATGTGCCCAAAGGAATGCACTCCGTGCGCACGCTGGTCATCGACCTGGAAAAAACGCTCGTCAGCTCGTCATACACGCGCGCCAGCGGATGGAGAATCGCAAAACGACCGGGCGCAGAGGCGTTTCTAGCGTACATGGCATCGTTTTATGAAATTGTGGTGTTCACTAGCAGCTTGAACATGTATGCAGATCCTATTCTGGACAAGTTGGACCCGAATATGTATATCAGTCATAGATTATATCGCGCTGAGACACATTATCGCAACGGGGTGCATGTCAAAGATTTGAGCCGACTCAACCGTGATTTATCGCGCGTTATCGTCATTGATCACGATGAAAAACACGTCAGTATGCAACCGGAAAACTGCATACTCATCCCCAAATGGGACGGAGATGCGTCTGACACCAGTTTGCTCGATTTGATTCCGGTGCTGGAAGGCGTTGTGAGAAGGGATGTGAAAGATGTTCGAAACCATATTGGCGTGCTGAGGGGGAAGCCTTTGGCGGAGGGTGTCGCGGAGTACCGCGCTTTGGCGGACGCACAGATGCAGGCGGAGGGTGGACGGGCGATATCGCTGTTTGGACGCGCCGTTGATGGCGCCGATGATACGCGCGCGGTGGGGCGGCCGGGCGCTAACGGTGAGGACGACGACGGCGCCGCGCCGGGCGCCGTATGGGGGAGGCTGTCTGGTAGTGGCTTCTTCTCGCGGCCGGCCCCGGCAGCGGACAAGCGCTAATCTGCAAACGTGTAAATTTGAACACACAAACTGCCATTACGTTTGGTAGTAAAGCGCTCCAGTGCTCTTTCGTTGTTCGGCTTTGTTGTTCGGAATCGGAACAACGAGCAAGTGCTGCTGAGTGCTGCTGAGTGCTGCTGATGCATCTCCCGGGCACGATGATGATCACAGATAATCATTGAACACAGGTTGTAATAAATATTGTGCCAGCTGTGGGCCATTTACACACAGCAAGGAGCCTGGTTAGCCGTATTAGCTCAGTGGCTAGAGCAATGGTCTTACATTTCGTTCCCCGATGAGCGCGCCATGGGTCCCAAGTTCGAACCTTGGATGCGGTAACTCTCCACACACACTGATATCTCCACTTTTTGCTTAATGCTTCTGCGCTCACAGTGCTGCCCTCTGCATCTTCCGGCTAAACGGCGCCTTTTTGCGCTCTGTTCCCAAATGTGACATTTCGCACTGTGCAAACGAGCGCCGTGCAAGCGTGGCCGTAGCCACATGTCCCATCTGCATTATCGCAGTGCATCCACTAAACACTGGCGCCAACATGCAACTCTGTCCCTCACCTCCGTCGTCATCTCGCCGTGAAGACCAGCAGACACGCCGGTACTTTCTTCACCCCTGCTGCTCTTCCGCCGCATCGCCCCCCTTTTCAACAGATGTCGCAGACACAAACGTCCTCCTCCCCATCCGTCCGAATCCTACCGTCTGCGTCGACGTCGACGTCGACGTCTCCCTCTCAGCCTCCCCGCATTGAGCCGCACTCCAACTTCGACCGCGCAACAGCAGACCGTCTCGACCAAACCGACCCCCTCCACCACCTCCGCTCCGAATTCTCGCTCCCCGCGCCAGTCTACCTCTGCGGGCACTCACTCGGCGCGCGACCCAATGCTGTTGTCGAAGCCGTACAAACGCACCTTGAGAAATGGGGTTCGCGCGCTGTAAACGGCCACTTCGAGGAGCCACAACCGTGGGTATGCATGGAACAGGAACCTGCACGACTGCTCATGCCGCTCGTCGGCGCACGCTACGAACACGAAGTGGCCGTTATGAATGCGCTCACGGTCAATTTGCATGCCATGCTAACTGCCTTTTACCGCCCACACAAGTGGCGCACGAAGATCCTCATGGAGGCGCATGCATTTCCATCCGACATGTACGCTGTGCACACTCACATAGCGTCGCGCGGTCTCGACCCCAACGAAAACGTCGTCATCGTCGAGCCGCGCGCAGGTGAGTCGCTGCTGCGCGAGCAAGACTTGTGGGAGTGTATAGATACAAATGCGCAATCGCTGGCGCTCATACTGCTGCCAGGCGTGCAGTACTTCACGGGCCAGGTTCTGCCCATGAAGGCGCTCGCCACACGCGCCCGCGCGCACGGCATTCCGTTTGGTCTGGACCTTGCGCACGCGGTGGGTAATATGGAGCTGCATTTGCACGACTGGCAGGTAGACTTCGCGGTGTGGTGTTCGTACAAGTATCTCAACTCAGGCCCAGGTGCGACCGGCGCTTTGTTCCTGCACGATAAACACGCCGATGAACCGTTGGCGAGACACGCCGGTTGGTGGGGTCACTGTCCGCAAACGCGTTTCGAAATGCGTCAGCAATTCCAAGCACAACGTGGCGCACCCGGGTTTCAAGCCTCTAACGTACCCGTGCTCGCCGTGGCGCCGCTGATCGCCTCGCTCCAAGTGTTCGAGCGCGCGGGTGGCGTTGCGGCGCTGAGGAAGAAAAGCATCTTGCTGACGCACTTCCTGCAGGTTGGTTTGCAGAGGTGCTTGCCTAACGTTGTGACCATTGTATCTCCGCTCGAGGCGGAACGGCGCGGATGTCAGCTGTCTTTGCGGTTGCGAGTTAAGGCATGCGCGCAAGAGGTGTGCGAAATGCTTGAAAAGAACGGTGTGGTGTGTGACTTTCGGCGACCGGACGTGCTGCGAGTGGCGCCGGTTCCGCTTTATAATCGCTTCGCGGACGTGTATGTGTTTGTGCGCGCTCTCGAAGCGACACTGGCGCAACTTGCCGCCGCCACAGCTGAGTAGATGCTCGTTGTAAATACCGCTTGTGCAGTTGCTTGCGAACGCGTTCTCGCGTGCTTCCACCCGAATCGCGCCTCGCTCCCGGCGCTTGCTCTCCTCGCTGCGGGCCGACGTGCACACACGGCTGCCGCACGCAGCCGTATCAGGCGGCCGACATAATACATATGACATAGCGCTGCTGATTTACATTTTGAGCACACACGATTTACAGGCGCAACACGCGCGTTGGTCGCGCTTCGCTGTGCACTGCACCGTGCACACCCCTTCCGCCTCGCCTCGCCTCCCAAATTTCCATTCGCAATGGCAGCCGCAGCGCCTTTCTCTCCGACCCCACCAACACCCCTGCCCCCGCCCCTCCCGCCCTCCCCCTCCGCCCTCCGCCGCCGTCCTTCGTTCCCGCCTTCGCCCTCCCCTCCGTCCGCACTCTCTCCCCCCCCCCTCCCTCCAACCTCTCACCGCCGCTCCTTCCCCGCGAATGACGATATCTTTTCGTCGTCAACGCGCTCAGTCCTCCTTCGCCCTTCCTCTCATCGTAACCACCTCGCCTACACAATGCCCAGAAGAGCTAGACGCCCCACTGCGAGTGACCCCAACTCAGTTCGCGGTCCATCCAGCGAGCACGCCATTTCTGCTCGCATTCAGGCCACATTCAAGAAGATTATCGTCGCCTTACAGGAACAACGCGACCTTCGTTGCGACCTGGCCAGCACTCGCACGCGCGCCCTCGTCCTCGACTCCGAGTTCGTCGTCCTGCACACCGAATTTGACCGCTCCGCCGCCGCGCGCAACAAGCTGGACGCATTAAGTCGCGAGCTGGCGCGCCGCAACAAGTCCATTGACGAGGAAGCGGAGCAGAGCATTGTGGCTGAAAAGAAGATCACCGAGGATGTTGTACAACGATTTAACGCCGCCATGGCCGAAATCAACAACAAGCTCACCTCGAAGAACCATTCGCGGGAACGGCGCAACCTATATGTTCAGACTTTGCAAAACAAAATCTCCGTCCTGCAAGAGCGATACGACATGCGAGAACAGCACTTCAATCAGCAGGTGAAACGAAAACAGTTGGAACAACAGCTGCTTGTAGCGAAGCATCGAGAGCTTGTAAACACCCATTCCGCAACTACCAAACAGCTCGCCCAAATACATCAGCAACTGCAAACAGCTAAACAACAACATCATCAGCTTAAAAACGATGTCCAGCATAGTCGAACTACCATACGAGACAGCGACCAATATCTGCAGTCTACCGACAACTTGTATGACACTCAAAAGACGCAGATTGACAAGCTCCAGACCGAAGCCAAGCAGCTCCAGAGCGCAAATGCCATTTCTAGAAACGCCAACAATTCCACCAACGTCCACATCAAGGCCATGGAATCCGAGTGCAAGCGACTAGAACAATCCATTATCGCCGCTCGAGAGACAGAACGCAAAGAGCGAACCAAAATCGAAGCGCTCGAGAAGCTCTGCAAGCAAGTCACCATCGAGCGCTCCGAGCTTCATCGAGAAATTCTTGTGATGCAGGACGCCTGGTCAAACCTCAAACAGGAGATTGAAACATTGAAGGATCAGGTCGGTGAGAGCGGCCGCGTGTTTGAGGTGCTACAGAACATCATGAACCGCGAATCATTGGACGGCGCCGGCAGTAGCATATTTAGAGGTGACAGGTCCATCGAAGACGTCATCAGCGATGCGCTAAGTCCTGTGCGTCTGGTGTCTGGAAGCCAACTTGATGAGCAGATTCCCCTTGCCGCGACCGCATCGAATCCAGGCCCGTCGAATGGAATCCTCCCACCCGGGTGACCGATTGCTACGAGTACAAACGCCCGATATCGCTGTGCGTTCGGTTCGGTTGTGGTTTCTTTCCGCTCTCGAGTAATAACTGCCTTGCCACATAATACGTGGTGACCGGCGTCATCTTATCTATTGTTGTCGCTTTACTTACTGTCTTTTTCTTAGCTTCGCAAATTCGTAGCTGTCGTTTTAAGCCACCACCTTTGAAGCTCGATAAACAGTTGCCCACCTCATGAATGGGAGGGGGAGGGCATCTATGTTTATCGAACGGAGGGCCTGTACAGTCTGGCCTCCTTGGAACTGCAATCTTCTGGCGTGCTACCGGCAAAACCGGTCCCGGCATTGTGAACTGCAATCACATCTGTCTTCACGTCTATCTCTACTTCAGTCACAGGATCTCGTCCACTCTTGAGTACAAACTTATTAACACAACTTGCGCACAGTACTGTCCCGGTTCTAAGCGCTACTGGTTTTGACGAGTTCACCAACACAGTGTGGCAAACCGGACACATGTATTCTGTCCCAGCAGTTGGCGCATAGCTTTGCGTTGGTTCACTGTCCGCACCGTCCTGTTGCGATGATCCCTTCTTGACGCGCATTGGCTTTAATGCAATCAAGTCTCGCGCTTTCAATGGTTGATGCGTTACCGGACACACCGTCCGTAGACACATTTTTTCCTTCCGACGCTTTTTTCTTGGCCGCGAGTCAACTGTCACAAGCTTATCATCGCTCGGAAGCCAGAAGTTCGTTCTCTTGTGTTCCTCGTCCAGCGGCTGTTCGCTGTCCTTTTTGAGCTGCGTGTGAACAGCTTCTTGTTCCTCAACGAAGCTCTTTTCCAGTTTTGCTTTTTGTTCAGCGTAGCGTTGAGCGTCTTCCTTAGCCTTTTTTTGCTCTTCAGCCTTTTCAGCCATGAGTTCTTTCCGAGCGGTTTCCTTCTGATGTAGCAGGTTGAGCACAATGGCCTCCCGGTCGTACAAAACACCCTCCGCTGTCAGAACCGGGTCGGTGGCTCCTACAAGACTGAGCGCACAGTGATTCCACTGCTTCATTGCAGCGCCAGGGAGCCGCATACGTTTAGATCCGTGCTTCATGTTGCGCCTCTCATGATAAGTGAACACAGCGCCATCTGTGTTGCCCTTGGACTGCCTCGTCATGGCTTCGTCTCGCAAAGATTCGTCAAGAATCGCAGCGCCGTGCCTTTTCACTCTGGCGCGAACTGAGTTGGGAAGGTTGCTGGAGACAGACGGCTCTCCGCGACTTAGCCCGTAGTGTCCGCGCCGAGTCTCATGGTCACTTTGGAGTTGTGCTCGACACAATTTTTCAACAAGTAGAATTGGCGAAATTTTTGAAACATTATAGTTTCATGAGCACTTTCCAGTAGAAAGTTTCTACCACCCGCTGTGCAGCTTTCCGCGACCACTCGATGATGACGAAGACAGTTTTCTTCCACTGGGCTATTTTTACTTGTACTGCTATGATGCAACTCTAACCCGCGCCATTTC